ATGGCTGGCTGATGATGGCTAGTAGGCCAGAAACGGCCATCCCAGTCTCCGCAGATCATTCCGGTCTCCCTCATCTTTGTCGGTAATGCTAGTTTATCTATATTATGTGCTCCACTGCGGCCCCTGGCGGGACTCGAGAGAGAGAGAGAGCCCCAAGACACAACGAGACGAGTGAGTTCCGGAGTGCTATCGGTGCGCGCACCTCTACTAGTGTTCAGTGCAGTTTGCTGTCTTAACACCGCCCTTTCACATCCTGAAATCCTTTCCACTTTTGCTATTCGCTAGCCTTCCTGTGATGTCGTGCAAGGATCGGCCGCAACCGGGACCCATGGTGCCCACTGTGAATGACTGCGTATGCATTCCATCGACACTGTACCTCGCCACCCATCTTGCCGGTGCGTTTTTTTCATTTCCCTTAATATGATGGTTCAGCGGTTACTCTGCGACCAGTCTGTCTCAGACACGAGTGGCGCTGTTGCTTCAGACCTTAAAGGAGAAACCAAACACTTTGTCATCTGACAAGTGCTGCGTGAAGTGGAGGTAGTGGCAGTGAGGGATCAGCACACGTAAGCCACGTGACCGAAGTGCTTGGTCCTCCACAGCGCCGAATCATATCTACAGTCCACCTAACCCTGGTCCTATCAATAGCATACCATTGGAGTATGCCGATGGGACATAGTGAATGTGGGAACGGTAGAGGTTTATGCTGTCCAGGTCACTACTGCTCAAGTCCAGGATAGCGGTGATTCTCGCCGAGGTCGGTGGACGACAGACACCCCTGCGGTTGCTTGTTTTGTTGCCTCTACTACCCACTACGTGTTGAAGCGCTGCATCTTATGGCTGTGTACGTTCTTTCTCTAAGCTCCCTGGATTGAAGTGAAGAGCAGTAAGACTGGCCAGTTTTACTACTTCAATCGGAACTCTAACGTTTCCGTCTACGCTCTTCCCAAGGAGGCGATATTGCCTTACGAGTGAGTTGCTCTGCTTTCATACCCTACCATTACCCTCTCCATCTGATAGATCGTCCTCATGGGAGTGGGATGGTGTTGCACCACGGCGGCCGAAGACGTTGAGGGTGACGCATACGTACACTGGGTTATGTAGAGCTCTGCCGAAAACCACAGTTATAATAGCCGTAAGAAATAATTTAAACAAGAGTGGGATTACCGACAAAGACGAAGGAGACCTGGGTGGTAATTTTAGGCTTGTTAGCCATCGTCAACCAGTCGTGCCGAACTCCAGGTTTGGGAGCATTTGAGACTCGAACCGGCGCTCTGCTGGTTATTAGTCCAACGCCCGAACCAATGAAACAAAGGCTAATTGTCCTGTCAGTTGCGATCGGGTGTGCTAAAGCCGGTAGAGGGCGCTCACCGATCGCGTTACTGGACATACTCGCCCCATTCTGCCATGGGACTCAAACTAGGACCCTCACAAGCGAAAGGACAATGAACCCGTGGCCCAATGGTTAGACCGTTGGACTTGATAACGCCCAATAATCAAAGGAACCCGAGTTCGGACCTCAGATGTCCACAGACCTGACCAAGTTGACCTCGGTTCCGTCTCCATGCTGCTTCTTTGTTGCATGTGTTATTCGAGTCTGAGGCTATCTCGGTGCAGTCTGCCTAGTTAGGAGTATATGTGGAGTGCCGGACTGGCGGGCTGAGAGTCAGTGAGGAAACTGGTAGACGAAGGGCGTTATTTCCGTTGCCGAATCCCACCATGACAGTAGGAAGTTAATCACGTGATCCAGTTGCTTACAGTTCGGACGTAGGAGACGCCCAGTCGTCACCCGAAGTAGGACCATAGATGCAGTCGTTGGGTCCACCACACGGCCAATGTCAACCAGGTGCTTCATAATGGAACGTCTGGGGGTGATTTATTTTCCGCCCTTAACAGCCACTTTGGCATGCGTTCAGCTGATCGTGTTGCCTTTTCGTGCGCCGAATATATTTGTATCCGCAACTGCATGTAAGCTCATAAATACAGTTTTATGTGGCGGGCATTGGTGGGATGTCTTTAGTTGGTTAGTTCCTTCAATCGTACATCGAAGCTTTAGTTTGGTCGCGTCTGACACATTATCACCCTTGAAAGGGAGGTAGATGCCCACCGACTTTTTGGCACGAACGTTCCTGCTGGACTTTATTTTCTGTTTCAACTTCGCAAAAATGCTTCGAGAATTTTCGAAGCACGGCAAAAGTGACATCGAGGAATTATACATGTGTAATAGTTGATGACCTAGAATTCGTTGACCCCCCTCTCCCCCAAAGAACTCTGTCAGGCCAAAAAAGCTAACTTCGGGAAGGCATAATCTATCCGATCAGTCAACTGGCAATGGAAGCGAAAATTTCAGACTGCTCTTCGGAGAGCAGGATTTTGTCTTCTGAGGGGATTCCTAACAACGGCATCAGCAAGGAGTGTTATGTCCTGTTATTCTGGTTCCGAAATCGTCACCGTCTGAGTCAATTGCCGCCTTACCTCACACGCAAGTTAGAGACGTTTAGTCCAAAACCTCACCGGATCTAAAGGTGGCTTATTGTCTGCCATATTGTCCTCCATATCTGTGAAGGAGCGACCTGAACTTGCCGGATCTACTGTTACCAATTATCGGTGGTCGGATCAGTTGTAGTTACGGCTGTTTCCGCATACACGTTAAACACTTAGGCACCTGACCATGAACTCATATACGAACCGATGTTTTCAGACCTCTTTTCTGTAAGCGGTATGCCTTGCAGACAGTCGCCATATGTTTTGCTGGGCGTGGACCCTATATTTTCCCCAAGAAAGGGCTATTTCGGAAGAGCGTCTCCTTATTCGATGAACTGTTACCACTTATTCCATCCACACTTCCGAACTAATCCTCCCACATGTTTACTTCCTTCCATTCCAGTAAAACCAAGTTTTTCCAAGTGCCCTGGACGCGTGCGACCGTGGATGAGTTCGATGCCGCACAGCTGGCCCAGGATGTGCTTCATTTAGATTTTTAAATTAGCCCCTTGGATTACCTTCGAGAAACCTCTTTCACTTCCTCTTTATTTTTGAAATAAAGATATACTGTAATCATGGGGGCTTCCGGAGTGAATACGGGCCTCTCATTTTGTCTTGAAGCTCACAGGTAATCGCACAGCGACAACGGTGTGTACTCTGGAAACGTATTGTCGACAGAGAAGGAGAGAGACGCGGCCCACTCCTGCGTCCGACGTGGGTGCAACTGTGGTTTGCGCTCGAATTTGTTTATGTTGAAGTTGACTTGCAAATCGCCAAACTCACTTTGTCTTACCAAACCCCCTTTGCATTCCAACAATATTATAAATTTGAGGCAACTGGGGTGGATATGGACGCAGTGACTTTCAGAATGAAACAGCCGTACCCAAACCCAGGCCTGACAAACACGGGGCTCGACCGTGATTTCGTTTGATTAATCAACAAACGACCAACCATTGGCCCTCGCTATCGCGCTCTGTCAGTTACGTTCGGGAATCTTCCAAGTGACATTTACGTGATGCTCACAAGAAATTCTAATCACATAATTAAATACGAGTCCGCCCGACGTGGGGCGGTGGTGTAGCTGGCTGTCGACTACAAACAAGTCAGAAGTAGCCATTCCGGTCTCCCTTGCCTTTGCCAACAGTATTCTAGCGTTGCTGCTCTCTCACCGGATGGCCTCAATTCCCTCCCATCAGGTCATTTGGATCCGTGTGTAGGCTTATTTCAGTTAGCCCTAAAAGCTCGCTGATTTGGTGAATTTCGCCTTTTTAGTTGAATGGCTATGGGTTTTCATTCGTCAGTGAGTCTGCGTGCGCAGCTCTATTGGCCTGTGGACGGATTGTTGATGCGCGTTGGCTGATTTTCAATATGTAATCGTTACTAGTTAAATACCGATTTGTGTATTCATCGGGACGTCCAAGAGGGGAATTTGACATTCTCTTTCAGCCTCTATTATGAATCACACCTCCAGGATTTCTGAGTTCAAACTTTCCCATCAGAAAACAGGCATATCAGCATTGAAACGCTTTCTGTGACTACCAGCATGAGCTCAGAAATAGTGGGCTAACTGTTGCTGTCGTCGTCTTATTCCCACTGCCAGGCGCGGCTTGTTTCGACAGTGTGCGCTTTGGCATGAACGCGAGGAGAGTCCAAGTGGAACGACATCACACTTTGTTTAATTGTAACGTGTTTGACTCGTTGGAAAGGCTGCAAGAGGGAAAGAAGTGTTGTTTTACGAGTACGCGGCCGACAGTTTCAGGCTTTAAAACAACCAGTTCACTAGTCACTACATGGGGCGTGTTTCGAAGGCCGACAGTTTGCTTAAGGTGCACGTGATTTGGGGATTTTTAAGAGGTTCTCGGACGTCGGGATAGTTGGTTCACTGACTTTTTTTACTATTTCAAGACCGTTGTTAATTTCTTCACTTAGCTTTGACCAGAGCTTAAGCCAAATGATCTTAGAAACCAAATGTTTCAAGAGGGCTGTCGCAACAGCCATAGGCAGACTCCAGCCACTACCATCATCAGGCTCGGTCCCAAATAGAAAAAAGAAGTTGGGCGCCAGTAGATACAGCATGACTAAATAATAGGTTGGTGTTGGCAATCGGACGCGGGCACACGTACGGCTGCGCGTGAGGAGGCGGCCCAGGTTACAGTGGGGCGCGCGTGAGAGCACCTTGGAAAGGGACGCCTGCATCGGTCTTGAAGTTGATTGACTGGGTTGGATAGCTATGATTGGCCGAGAACCGGGCTACCATTGGTACGCGGGCGCAAGAAGCACAGTGCTACAACTGGCACCAGGAGTGGGGCCTATACAGAACGACATTGCTGCTGGGGTACGATTAGAAGTGCCAAACCTCCGCTTCGGCAGTAGTTCACCCTTCTAAGGACAACAGTGAACCGATTTACATTCGCCGGCAGGGTGATGATTTGGCTTCCGGGTTTAACTGCCCCTAAAATCTTCGCCCTTCCTACTGTGTCGGAGTAACTTTCCGGTGTGGTAACTTTCAGCTAGATGTCCGGTGAGGGGATCGCGCGTCAAGTTTAACTGTGCGGAGGACACTCCATCAGTTGACTCCACTGTTTAAAATGTTACACGATAAATAAACCTCTCCCCTGGTGATTCTTCCACCTTTTCTGGCGTTCCGTTTGTTAATGTTTGCTACTGCTCAATTGAACACAATTCCGCTAACGATAGTTAGAAGAAATGCAAAGCTTTAGGCTCAGATCACAGCGGTGCGCATGAATTTTAAGAGTATAAAAGATCCGAACGGAGGAAGAATAGTTAAACTGAGTGAATGACAAAAGGTAATTTCTGATGAACTTAAAAAGCCACAATTTGTAAACTGCAGTATCTACCAGAAAGCACACGAGGAATGCTGGGAGACCCACTGAAGAGCCGAACCCCTCGTAGTTGTGTCATGCAGCGACAGAATATCGGCGAAACACGCGTGTATGGGCCTTTAGCTAGTACCTCTGCTGCTAGTATGGTATCTTACAACCCTAAAATATACTACTAATTGCCTGTTGGCAGTTAATGAGTAATACGTGGTTTTCCCGCTGTGGCTAATAGACTTCGGCCCAAACATTCATATATAGAATTTCGGTCTGTGCCTATAGACTTTAGAATATACTGACCTACTCCAAGTTCTAAGTTAAATTCTGAGGGAATTAAAAAGTAACAATGATAAGAGTGCCAACGGTAGTGTTATCGGCAACATGAGAGGCTGCGACTGGCTGATGGTTGAGTTGAACTTTGACGGCAAATCCGTATGCCGTGTCGGTATGTGCTGATTTGGGTGAGGAGGTAGCGCTGGTGATAGAAGGTGTAAGGTATCGGATACTGGGAAGGAAGTCCGGGTGTTGGCACTGATGGGGGATCTGCTCTACTAGACTAGATCGGAACCACCAAATGTACTCGATGGGTTGAGGTTGTTTGATGACGTCCCTTCTGACTCATGCCAAGGTATCACCAACGGCGTTTTCTTATCCACGGACATGATAAGTGACACTGGAAAAACAGCGGGATGAGGTCGAGTGGGAATTTGGCGATGATTAACTTTAGCCACGTCTGATAGTTTTATGTTGAACATGTCGCGGCGCCTTAAGCCATAGACAGAATGTAGACACTAGGGCCTTCAGGTCCGGCCCTGAATAGAAAGAGGTGTTGAACGCCGGATGAGAGGGTATTGCATTCTGTGTAGAAAGCTCAGAGAAGTGGTCGGAGTGAGTTGACAGTTGGACGAGGGCACACGTCCGTCGCCGTAAGAGCGGCGCCCCCGGCGACAGTGGGGAATGCGTCACAGCACCTTGAGCTAGAGCACGTCTCAGACAGCCTTGGAGATGACTGGTCGGTTTCAACGGTCGTGATTGGTCGAGAACCAGACAGCCACTCCGGCGCACATGAAAGGACTCGCGAAAGACGCAGCCTTGCAACAGGCCCCGAAGTAAGGCCACTACAAGTATGCCTTACTCGACTTCCGTATAAAGGTGCGAGGGATTATGCGCGTCTCCAACTTCTGTCATATTGATCTCGGTTTCGGACATGCAACAACCACCACAGCCTCCTTGATGAATAGAGCGTTCGAATATGATGCGCTCTACCCTCATTACCATCTGGGCGACCCTGCCCCCTTCATATCAGAAGCTAGACAAGTGGAGGAAGCAGTGGCAGCATATTCCAGCTACTAGCCTATCGCCAGCTAACTATCGGTCGCGGCAGCCACCAACAAGGGAGAAGAAGTAAACATCATTCTCATACGAAGCTGCAGCGAAACAGCGTAAAATTATCTAATGAAACAGCCAGTTAAGGCATCTAAATGAACTAAGTGTTTATAATTCTAAATTGCTACTCCTCTACTGAGCAAACGACATCTACAGTGGCTTACGAAATGTCTTTGGCAATATTCAACGCAGCTATCTGATTCATCAGCCGTCGACGTGGATCACGGAGTTTTTTTAAAGGAAGGGCACAAACCGTATATATTTGTTCCCCGAAGTCGACCCCTTACTCCCGTTTTATATGATATCTCCAGGACTCAGTCTTTGGACCATTACTTTCCTTAGTCAACATCAACAAGTTCGTCGATAGCATATGTTGCAGCGTCGTCGTGCTTGCTGACCATGTCAAACTCTGGGCGACTACTGGGACTGAGACAGCGAGAGCACACATTTCAGGAAAGCCTGAACAGACTTCATGGCTGTTCTGGTCGATGGCTTATAAATTGTAACGCTGGAGTTAACCGAAAACCCTAACCAGTTCCAATGAGGAAGACAATTCTTGCCCATGCGTTCTCAATGGACAGTCACTTTACACGTTAAGGATCAGAAGAACCCTGGTATTCTTGTGACATTCTCGTTTAAACCGTTAACACAGTGCGTAAAAGGCAGCTGTGTGAGCAATACAAGTAGTATTCGCGCTGAGACGAGCATTTGTGCAAGCCGATCAGTGACTGCCCGCCTAAACACTAAGAAACATTTGTTCGGCACCACATGGACTGGGCTGTACAGGCCTGGCGTTCTTGATTTAAGAAGGCCTATCAACTGTTCAAAGAAGTCCACGCGAGGGCAACAAGTTGGTTACAAATTTCGGCGCCTTGTCATGGGAAGCCAGACCGGCCGAAATTAACCGGTTTCCATCCACTTCCAGGCAACTATATGATAACCTCATTCAGGCCTGCGGATTGTTAGGCCGTGAGTGCGTGACGGTTTTAGGACTTCATTAAACTGACTGGAACTGACCTTCTGCGTGGTCGAAGTTGGTTCGTGCAAACATTCGACAGCCCGCCTTCCGCAGAGGGCGGTTGGAATATGAAATGGACTTTCTGCCGGAGTGACACTTGAAAACACTGCTTGGCCATGTGAATACAGACTTGGTGCTCATTTATTCAGAAACTGCTGCGCATATGGGCGTGATTATATCAGTGGCGAGAGCTTGCACGCGGTCCGCGCATACCGATGACGTTATTTTTTGCGGAATTATTTGCGGAATTACCCATTGA